TTTTTTTTTTTTTTTTTTTTTTTTTTGTCGGCGCAGTGAGGCAGCCACGCCATCAGAGGGCGCTGTGGTCGTGGAAACGGCTCCTCAGGTGAAGCCCTGAAGTTGCACTGCGGTGAAATAAAACGCCCCCACTTTAGAACAGGTGTCCTGCGAACTGAGCATGAAAGAGACCRAAGTGTTGCTGGATGTCATTTCGGGACCACAGGAGGAAAATGCTGGGCGGAAGAGTCTAAAAACGAACCCCGAGGCGCAGGAAAAGGTGAGCGTTTAACTTTGTCATCGCTCTTTTTATTCGTGACGTGGACAAACGGAGGCGTCCCGCAGAGGCAGACAGGTGTTCAGAACCGACCAGGATGTGGTCATTTAGGATGACACCCAACTATTAAATGTAACTTTTCATTAAAGAAGCCTCGCTTATCAACGCAAAGGGAACTTTACTGAAATAAATACATTTTTATTTTTTTATCTGGCGTTAATATAAGAAGGAACGCTCTCTATAGAAGACCTCATTTTGAGCTTAAATTAGTTTCAAAATCATATTGTTTTTATTTTTAAATGTTTGTAGCAAATTTCTGTAATTTTCTTGTATTCTTATCTAAAAACGGACAATAAGTTTATGAGTTAATGAGACATAAGCATAATAAATCAAACTTATTAAAATAGGTGTAGATAAGTAGAACTGGTAATGATAATATGTGAAATATTAATTGTTGTCTGTTTCTGGGGTAAGTTTGAAGCTGTGCTGTAAAAGCAGAGGAAGTTCTGCCTGATAGAACCTGACCTTCTCGTTCTGTTTCCCAGTTTGAATCCATGTGACGTCATTTTGAGAGAACAGCCATGAGGRGGACCAAACAGATCAACATCAAGCGGGCCCTCGCCCTCGCCGGCACCTTCCACTTCCTGTGCTCCTGTGCCGAAGCCTGCCTGCTGCCCTTCCTCACCCTCTACCTGCGGCAGCTGGGCCTGTGTCCGGCGACGACGGGCATCGTCATGGGCACCAAACACCTGGTGGCGCTGGTGTGGAGGCCCGCGGCCAGCCTGCTGTCCAAACACTACAACAAGAGGCGAGCGGCCATAAACGGCTCTCTGGTGTTTTCGGCCGTGGCCGCCCTCCTCCTGCTGGTGCTCCCTCCTGCGGGGGCTCCCGGTGCCCTCGCCGGCTCCTGTAACGCTTCAAACGCCAGTTCTGCTCCGACCCAAAGTCTTCACGCTACGTCTAACAGTACCAGTTTAGGTCCACGACTTCTGACCACCTCTGCTTCCAGCAGCTCCGCTGACGTGACACCGAGACCTGAGACGACAAACGTGTCTTCATCTGATCACGAGGGAACGTCCCACCCTCAGCTGCCAACAGAAAACACTTCAGTGGTTCTCAGCAGCCGTGAAGATGTGAAAACTGTGAATTTTACTGTCGGTTCTTTGGTGTCTCATGTGCGACCCAACAGGTCTGTTCTGGAACAGCCAGAGGAGGCGGAGGCGAGCAGGTTTGAGTTTCTGAGCAGCCTGAAGGAGATGGACTCTCAGAGCCAGCTCTTCTTCCTCCTCCTCCTCATGGTGTCGGTGTGGGCGCTGGCATCAGCTCCTCTGGAGTGGACTGTGGACGACGGGCTCTACGAGTATTTGGACTTGGCGGACGCCTCGGACCACTACAGCAGCACAGAGGTGTGGGGTCTCCTGGGAGCTGCGTGTGGGGGCGGGGCGACGGGGCTGCTGGTCAGCCGCCTCAGCTGCTTCATCGCTGCGGCCACGCCCAGGACGGTGGTGCACTTCTACTGCTACGCCAGCCTGCTGGCTGCGGCCGTGCCCCTGGCCGTCTCCCTCCCCCTCCACCTGGATAAGAAGCGGGACCGGGCCAGCGGGCTGCCCAAGGCCCTGCAGCTGGTGCAYGGATCCCCCCGCGCCCTGCTCTGCGCCGTCACCGTCTTCCTCGCCGGGGCCGCCAGCTCGGCCGTGGAGAACTTCCTGTTCTGGCAGATGCAGGACCACGGCAGCAACGAGCTGCACATGGGGGCGTGTCTCGCCCTGGCGTCGCTCTCGCAGGCCGCCTTTCCACTACTGTCCACCAGGGTCTCCAAGCTCCTCAGCCCGGCGAGGGCGCTGGCTGCGGGGGTGGCGAGTCTCGGGCTGCAGTGCTTCTACTACTCCTTCCTGTGGGGACCCTGGGCCGCCCTGCCCGCCCAGGTGCTCGGCTCGTTCAGCGGCGGCGCCCTCTGGTGGGCCGTGAGGCTCCAGTGCGAGAACGTGGCCACGCCGGGGGCCGAGAGGAGCGTGAAGAGGGTGTTCACCTCGCTGTCGCTGCTCCTGGGAGCGGGGCTGGGCAGCATCGCTGGCGGGTTCGTGGCGCGGAGGTTCGGCGTGACGTGGCTKTTCAGAGGCGTGGCGCTGGGGCTGGCGGCGTGGTGCATCTGTTTGCCTCTGCTGCAGTGGAAAGCCCCCCGCCAGCGCAGGATCAACTACTCCCGCCTGCTAGCAGCTGACGCCAGCGAGGCCAGCGACTCGGAGTCGGAGCAGGAGAGGGACTGGCTGGAGAAAGCCATGGAAGACGACAGAGGAAACAATAATTTCGAACGCAGGAAAAACTTTTTGTAGCAGGTGTGGAAGGCTCCGACAAACCATCAGCATTTCTTTAATAAATTCACTGTTTATTGTGACGTAGCACTTGGTCCCAGACCAAACTTTGTGCTGTTATAGTGTGGACTGGGAAGCCTGCAGGATTGTGTATTTGCCTAAAGCCACTGGTTAAGCTGAGTTTGGTACAGACTCCTCCAGCAGCTCAGACTGAATCCTCCTGGACGCTGCGTAAACACAAGACGTGTGCAGAAGGTCAGGCCAGACTGGACTGACATCCTGATGCACCACACCTACAGTCGACTCATTCCTCTCCTTTACTTTGGACTCTAAACTGTGAACTGGTGACACGCTACATTTGGTGCACTACAGATAAAGCTAGCTGGTATATGTGTTGTCCAACCTGTTTTTCAGATGGAGTTTGTATTTAAAGCTCGATGTCAGATGACTTAATCTGTCCTGGCAGCTGACAGAGTCAGAGTTAGTCAACAGGTTCCTCTGCACACGGCTGTAAAAAGTCTGCATCTCAATATTTGGGATCACATTTAGCACTAAAACTACAAATAAAAACTGTATGACATTAGCTGTGATCGTGGATGGAAATCAAGGAAATTAAGCTTCGTATTTATACAGATTGTTTCCTCCTCCGATGGGTTTTATTTCACAAACTAAGAGACTGAGCATTTCCCTTTAATCTGATGTGTAGCTGCATATCTGAGCAATAAACTTAACCTGCAAAAAATATAGTTTTATGGCTGAAAATGTCTTAAAAAGTATTTGATTGCTGAGAAATAATTAATGCAACTTCATGACACAGGTTTGTCATCAGGTGCTTTGAAGAAGTTTATAAATATCTTACCTGTTGTAGATGGCTTCCTAAATAAACTGTTTGCAAGAATGAGCTTAAAAACAGGATTAATAAGGTAACGTTTTGTCTGAACTAGGGCTGCCACGATTAGTCAATTAATTGACGACTAATCGATTATTAAAATAATTGATGACCAATTTAATAATCGATTAATCGTTTTTTTTTTACTTTGTTTTTCTCTCCAAACTGCTTTGACACCTTCCACTGCCACATCTGCCTTTCTGTCCTTGACACACATGCACAGTAGTGGTAACTGGGGTAGGCCGTGGACGTCACAAGACATTATACAGACAGGCTCTGGTATCATGGCTACCTGACAACGGAGCTCAAAAGTGTGGGATCATTTTAAGAAAATGAAAGAAACCTGTGYAATATCTGCAGAGCAGAACTTGCCTTCCACAGCAATTATTTTTAGTTAGCATATAGCTAAAATCTAACGATGGTTATATAATAGCTGCTGCATTCTGACGTGATAAGCTCTATGTTTTATATTCAATTAACGTATGATCTGATTAGTCGACTAATCGAAAAAATAATCGGTGATTAATCAACTATAAAAATAATTGTGGCAGCTCTAGTCTGAACACATCTAAGATCATTGTCATCAATATACTTTACACAGATATTTTCACAGAATTCTATGGTTATTTACAAAGTTTTAAAAAATGTGTTTTGTTCTGGTGGTCACGTCTGGTGAGAATTTCCGAAGTGCTGTGTCTGGTTTCATTATTTTACATCAGCTTTGCATTTTATGTATGAACTCAAGGTCTTTAAAAAAAAAAGTCCCAATTTGAAGACGAGCATTCTAACTTAGCTGAAACGATTTTGTTTTTAAATGAAAAAAATAAACTTTTTAACCACCCCCCCCTAGCCCCTTCCTAGCTTCAGTCCCCTGCTACATGAACTTTTTTGTAGTAACCGTGCTGAGCAGTAATAGAGTCTGCCAGCAGGGGGCGCTGTTCCTGTTAAATCCCATTATTCCAGCGACCATCTGAYAACTGCGGGCTGCTTTCTCTTTAAAAGCTGAGCAGCGTCGATCAGTTGGTGTCCTACTTTGTGCGGTTCGGAGTGGCTCGGCCCAGGGGCCCTGTCCGTCCACCATCATGGAGTTTCTGCTGGGGAACCCGTTCAGTACGCCGGTGGGCCAGCGGATAGGTGAGCAAGATGCAAACTAGTAGCTGTAAAAATGCAAAAAATATTTTAAAAAATTAAGTGGTGGGGGTGGGATAATAGGCTCAGGCCGGCACACGGCCCGCAGCTGTGCACTGCATATTTTTTATTACACAAGATGGTTTTAGTTTTACTGTTTCCTATAAAAAAAACCTCGTAAAAATGATTAGGCATGATATCGTCTTATGGAGGCGCCTCTTCTGGACAATGACTCAAGAGGAGGGAGGGGGACAGGGAGGTGTGGGGTCTGTTTTCAACACGAACAGTACTGGGTGGGACATAAAACAGCCCAAATGGCTCAAATGTGAGACAGCTGCTGATTTAATATTATTTTTATCATCATATTATTATTTTAATATTATTAGTAGGGCAAAGTGTTTCCATGTCGTGACGTGATGGACCTGACAGACCTGCAGCAGTTTGGATCAGCTGTAGAAACTAAAAACTCACATTTCAGTTTGTTTTCACTTACAGGGATTAAATGAGTCACTGGTGTTGACTTTCTGTGATGTTACCACCTGCAGCCGAGGCTCCTGTAAACACTGCATGGTGCAAATGTCAACACGCTGGCTGTTTCTTCTACAAAACAAACCACTAAACTGATCCTCAGCTCAGCGCTCACCCTTTACTTTGACCTTCAGCAGAAATACTGTGAGCAGTTACTATCTTACCTGCAGCAGATCACTTCATATATTACCTCAGTTATGGGAAATAAAGGTTAAGTACAACAGGTTGTGTTAACAACTAGTCTGAATGCAGATGAGACAAACGATCATTCATCCGTAAAGACTTTTTGGACTTGCCAATTAGCTTAACATGCATATTTTTGGTCTGTTAGAGGAAACTGGAGAGAAAACCCACACATGCACGGAGAGAACATGAAAACTACCCACAGTTCATGTGAAAGTTATTTTTTAAATCTGTCCAWAATTGTCAGTTTTACATAATACTGTAAGCTAGCATCATATAATATGATATGATATAATATAATATAATATATCATATAATACAACCTTGTACTTAACCAGGTACGTACTTAGTAATTACAGGATGTGGACAATAATACGAAGAGACTTATTAACCTGTACTTGCTGGGTATCAACCTGGGCAGCTGTGGTTGAGTTGTAAGGGGAGACTCTAATGCGAGAGTTGGCGATTCGATTCCACCACTGTTCAGTGTCAAAGTGTCCTTGGGCAAGACACTGAACTGCTGCTGCTGTGTGCCCCATCTGTGTATGAATGTGATTTAAAGCCCTGGTTAGTCTGTGTAGAATGATTTACYTGTATTAGCTCTGCAGAGAGACCTGGTARAGTTCTGTGTGGRTGGGTAAATGAGGACACAGATTGTGTGTAAAGCACTTTGAGGATCCTGGTAGGATAGAAACATGTTATATAAGTACAGTCCATTTACCATTTAACTCACACTTGGCCTTTCAGCAAGCTGTGTGCAAGGAGGGACAATGATGGTTGATATCAGAGATATTGAATTATTCAAACAGCCTGCCAAAGATGTTTAACTGCAGATTATATGACCTGACTGCTTGCCGTACATGMACCTCTTGTCTTCCTCGTGACGGTGGAGCTTTTCCACACGGCTGATTTCAAAGCTATAGATCCCCTGTGACAAACCTTTTATTACAATGTGCTCGTACACAACATCTGTACTGTGACAGTTGGGTACAAATACACACATATTGTACACGAATGAACCTGGTGGTTTTATTGTTATGTAACAGGTACAGTAATCATACGTATTTCTCCTCTCTTCATTTTCACAGAGCGTGCAACCAACTCCAGCTCCCCGTCTGAGGACTGGCAACTCAACATGGAAATCTGTGATCTGATCAACAGCTCAGAGGAAGGGTGTGTGTGTGTGTGTGTGTGTGTGTGTGTGTGTGTGTGTGTGTGTGTGTGTGTG